CATTCCTGGTGCACCTGGCACAGGAGGCAAACCTGGTTGCGCCATCGGGGGAATGTACCCCTGCTGTGGCTGAACTTGCTGGGGTTGAAATGAAGTTGAAGCTGCAGATTCGTCATCTTCATACTCATCAGAATCATCCTGCTGTTTCTTTTTCTGGCTCTCTGCTAAACAGTACGCGTATATGGTCAGACTAAAGGCACATTTTATTCCATGAAATTCATTTTATCTTGGGTATTCTAACAGGAACAAAAATAACAAAATTCAAATCCTATCAGCCTGTTCAAAAATTAATAGGATTACAAGAAAAACTAAGTGAGACAACCTATATGTACAAATAACAAAGGACAGTGACTCACACTGTAATGACCCTCAATGTATATGGAAGGTCTACCTTCGTGTCAGTCTCATGCTGTCTAAATAAGTCAAACCAATTCAAACAATGGTATACTTTAATAGCAATGAAATCTAAGTATCTGCACATCATTACGCCTGTATCATCCCTGGCTTTTCCTTCCCTTGCCCTCCAAAATAAAATCACCATCCCCATACTCACTAGATAACTGTTGTAGCTGTACTGGCATGCAGCTATTTCTGAACAGGAAAAGAAAAATCTGTCATCCTTCTACATCACTGGTAAACATCTAGAGCTGCAGTTAGAGAATGCATTAAACCCAACACTCTTCTGAGAAGCAAGACTTGTACCACACAGCTCAGTATCAGTAAGAGACAGACTAGGGAAATCACAGACAACCAGCTAGATGACACTTTACCCTGAGTTTTTTGTTCAAGTAACCTCCTCCTTTCCTCCATATCTTTTTCTGGAATGCCCTCCATGCCATAGATTTCCAGTTCAATGTCTGTTCTTCCAGGAATAGCATTTGGAACAGCGTCTATCGTTTCTTTATGTACCTGAAGAGAATAAAAATCCTCCTGATCACAGTTCAGGTTAGATTATACACATTCTTCAGCCAATTTCAAGATATGAAAGGAACATCCTTAATGGGAAGGATCTCTCTGGCCAAGCATTTTCTTGACATGTGCTCCCTAATCCCTGTTAGCTACTGTTAGCTTCTAAAACCAGTTTATGTAAACTTGGCTTCTGAACACCAAGACATCACCATTCCTTCAGTACCCCTATACCCCCAAAAGGACAGCAGAGATCTCTACTGCATACTCTCCACATGACTGCTGACACAGCAGCACTCTTGTTCTGGAAACAGACCACCGCTGTCTTTCTTATCAGTTTTTAAGACTCTGGAAGACCCAAACCCCTACTTTTTTAAGTTCACTATGAATTCCAATTGTAGATACTGATGAAAAAAACCATAACCATATGTAAATCTAGAACTTCTTACCTGCATACAATGTATAGCTAAGCCAGGTCCTGTATACAGTTTCTTATGACATATATGGCATTTAAAGTGCTTTGCTTTTTGATGCTGTATAAGGATTTTTTCATCATCAAAATCCCTGTTGCAATACCTATTGAAGACTGTTAAGGAAGTATTTAGTCCTGAAAGTGACCTTCTATACAACAGTTAAGCTGATTAGCATAATTGTGGGTTTTTTCTAAACAAACAAACAAACAAGCATAGGAAGCATCTCTGAGCTTAAAAACTTGACAAACACTCCACGGATGTCTGAAACCAAACCTCCCCCACACACCATCCAGCATTTCCCTCTCCAGACACAAAACTGGCAAGATGTGTACACACAATCACAACCATCATTTGATTCCACATCTGACACAAGTCCTAGTTATTCCTAAGTGGACTCATTCCTTCTCCGTGTATGTGTAGATTAAAGCAAAGTTGCTACAGCATTAAAGGAGAAATAGACCTGAAATCCACAAAAGGGAAGTGATACTAAATACTTAGAAGCGTCTATTCAATAGAAAGTATCAGTAGCTAACATTTCTAAAAGAGAACAAAGGTTTTAATTAAAGATTCCTTTATTTTTTCAGTCACCCAGCTATCAATTCTTATGACACTGCATAATTTGCTGCTGTCATTAAAGAATTCTCTGTTTTTAAACAAATATTTTATGCTAAGATCTTTCTGGACATCTATGGGACAAAAAAGGCAAACTGCAATTTCCTTTCTCTAGGTCAGCATCAGTATTTCAGCAAACACTCCAAATGTCTCTTCTGAATAGAGAAAAATACACATTTTATATATTAGCTGTTCCTTGCTAACGCAGTGCCCCCCTCACTTCCACCAAAACATGAAATGTATTAATACCTAAAACAAAAGCACAGATGCTTTCCAACACAAAATGGTGAAAGATCTCAGAGCAGCTTACAAATTCCTTTATTAAATAATTTCAGAATCAACCGAAAAAAAATCCACTGCTATTTCCGGATACTGAGAAGTAACACATGACTTTGATGCAGCAATTGCAAATTTACCCCCCCCATCCAAAAAAAAAAAAAAAAGTTTTC